ATGATTGATTTCTTTCCCAAATTGCATTGACTGCTTTATGAGACACCAATGTTTTAGGAGTTTACAACACGTTCTCTTTTTCACGTTGGCATATTGACGCCATGGGTTTCTTATTTAAAGCAATGGAGGACTCTGCACTTCGAAAAATGACGCTAAAGGGGTACCCTGTGCGTCTAACAGCGACGCCAAAGGGTCCTGACCAAGCGTCAATATGTAACAAGTTGGGAGTGAGAACGTGTTGGAGTTTAGAACACAGAATCGGACACATACTTATTGGATAACTGTTTTATTTCCTATTTAGGTTTATGTATATGCTTTTTTTTTTGTTTTGTTTTTAAGATTAACGGGTTTTTCCCCCCAAGGCATTGTGAGATGCCAGTGTTTCCTGTCATAGCTATTCAAGGATTTGATTTCAAAAACAGTATCATAACTATTAAACTATATCTTATGGCTTTAATCTGTGTTTAACCTCAAAGTAAAAAGAGTTGCTAAAGTCTGATTTAATGGTGTCTGTGCTGTAGAATTAAATTATTATAATCTTCATTCAAGTGACAAAGGGTTTTGAAAGTCTGACAGTAATCAGTGTTGAGTGCTACTGTAACTCTGTTAACCCTGCCTGCTTTTAAAGTTTCAAAATGATTAACAGTTGAAAACATTCATTAGAAATTTAGAAAAGTATTAAAAAAGTAATCAAATGTAATCAGTTACTTAAAGTAACTGAGAGAGTTACACTACTTTTAAAATAGGGTAACTTGTAATCTGTAACCTATTTCATTTCCAAAGTAACCTTCCCTATATTGACCCAAAAACACTTTTTAAAAAAAACTTTTTTCCCCATCCATGGACAATCAAATTTGTCCTTGACCCAAATAACTAGTCTGTTACTTGTCATAATTGTATATTTAATGATATGGCTTGCAGAATCGAGAGTTCATCCAGAATGTGTCATATGCCCCCATATTACTTATTTCTGATTCTCATTTCTTAGTTTGTTCATCTAGGGTCAATCCATGATAATATTACCAAGTTATGTGTGACACAGTGATCCCAGATCAGCTCAGTTATAGGAATGCCTGCCCATGACCCCTGGTTTGTATGTAGTAAGTTAATAGTCTCAGTGTATTCAGGTTTAAGAGATAAAGAAACACCCCATGCAGCACGACCTATTGACGCTCACTCATGTCCCCCCATCAGCCTTCACAGCACTCACCATCACATGAAAGAGTTCGTCAGAGGGGAGGTATCGTGTGAGAGGATGAGACACAAGAGTTCATAGTGCAGTGGTTTGGTGCTCCTTGACGAGATCACATGCTTGGCATATGGAGGCATCCTGAGAGCATTCATGGTGCATTTTATGTCTGAATAAAAGATGGGAGGAGAGAGAATAATATATCTGTCGTTGGACAGAATAAATTCCATTATTTTATTGTGAGATGAGAGTTTTCAACTTTAACTGCAAGGGAATAACACCGCTGCATTAAATAAAGAGTAACATTTAAATTTGTAATTAATATTTTATTGAATTAAATGTATAAATCAAAAATAGTTTCATTCTTAATTGTTTATTTTGTGATTGGAGACCAGGGTCACTTTGTCAGCTCCTTCCACTTCAGCGATACCTCAGCTGAACAGTAATTTACAGTCATTTATTAACCGTATGCTAGTGACAGAATATTACTCCTATGTTTATTTCAAAGCCTTTTATTTTCTTGTGTTTTTGCCTGAAATAGGTTTTGACTTAACTACCATTCAAAGGTTTGGAGATCTGTAAGATGGTTTTGAAAGAAAACTCTCATATGCTAACCAAGGTTTCATTTATTTGGTCAAAAATACATACATACAAAAAAAAAAAAAAAAATCATACAAAACATATAGCAAAATCTTATTACAATTTTAAATAACTTTAAATGTTTTCTATTTTAATATATTTTATAATGTAATTTATTCATGTAATGCAAAGCTGAATTTTCAGCATCACTTCAGTCTTCAGTGTCACATGATCTTTCAGAAATCATTCTAATATGCTGAATTGATGCTCAAGAAACATTTAGTTGAAAACAGTTGTGCTGGTTAATATTTATTGTGGTATCCAAAATAACAACGAAAACATTGAATAGTATTATAAAACAAGTAAAAAAGTATATATTTCTTTACCTAATTATGATTTAAATTAGTTAATATCTCTACAGGCTAGAAAACAGACCTCACCTGTTTTGCTAGTTATTTTGAAGTATCTCAGACAATCAGCACTTAAATTCGACTAAGCTACTGTGCTGTGGAAATGGGTAGGAATGCTTGTGAGAAAGACAGGACTACCTCACAGACATTCCTTCCCTTGCTTTCAGTGATGTATGGGGACAAAATGTCATTACCAAGCCAGTGATTTAACAGCCTTAAACGCTTCCAGCTGGAATGTTATTATGCCCCAATGCTAAAAGTGTCATATGGAACTCAACCTTAGTCTGCTGGGCTTTGTGTGATCTGGTGCACCTGCTCTCTTTCCCTCTGCCTCACTCTCTTCGCTTGCTCTCCTTCTCTTGCATTCATGCTTCAGATATGTAGCTCTGTGCTTTCACTTCTCTTAACTCTTCTTTTTAGTGTCCACAGGACAGCAAATGGCTACAACACTTGTGATTTATATATAAATGTAAATGTTGTTTGTGATTGTGTGTCTATTTCTAAAAGCTTTTACTATATAATTAATAGTTAACTATGATTGCAGAACAATATTCAGTCATGCAATCTCAGCCAGTATATGTGTAAAAAGCCAACGTTTTTTTGCTTGACTGTATTATGGACATTATAAAGTGGAGTGAAATCCTGGAGTAAAAACTGAATCCTGAAGAATTGCGTTTTTGGTTCTTTATCGCCATCTAGTGGCAAGTCCTATAATTTGTCATTCGTAGATAAAGAAGACCTACTGTATATGCAGCATGGTTTTCACATTAGACCAACAGTGAGCACACGTGAATCAACATACATTTACATACATGTCGTGTGGATTTCTTTGTATTATTGTAGAGAAAGAAGTACAAGTTTTTTCTTCAAGTTTCAGAGGTGTGTGTGTGTGTGTTTTATAATAGGCTAATGCAAGCACATGCAACCCAATTAGAAAAAAAACTTATGCTATTGTCTTGTATTGCTTTCATGCAGTATACTTAATAATTTACTAAACTGATTACTTGCTAAACAAAATATATTTTAAAAACATTGCATGTGCAATGTGAAAGTGAATGGACACATTAAAGCTAAATCTTTGAAAAGTAACGATTATCTTCCAGAAAATTGGGTTGCGAAAGTATACATTTAAAAAGCTTTAGCACAATTAAAGAACTAGAATTTACCTTAGCTTCATCTAATTTCTATACGTCTTTATGGACATATTCGTTGAAGTCTTTGCCCAAATAAATCGTGCCAACGTGCAAAGAGTTCTGTCTTGCTTTACTCCGACGCCTGCAAGAGACCTCAAAGGCATTCAAGCTACCGGTCCCTTGAGATGTGACATTAGTCATGTGGAAGTATATATTAACCAGCAATGCACACAAATTATCGATGCCATTGTTAACAACAAAGCGCAGCTTTCAAGTCATTACTGCCTGTCTGTTCTTAAAGTTGAATTCCAGTGTTTGATGCATCCCTTTCCACACAGGATACCTAAACAATCACTGCTAATCGTAGGTTTGGCAGTGGTTAATCATGGGACTGTACGAGTTAAAATTGAATGAGTTTCATCCTGACTCGTAGATATATGTTAGTAGAGTGTGATTTGGACTGTCAGTGTATGTTCATATGGATGAACGTGTTATAATGAATCATTATCTGATGCAAGAACGTTAGAACTATTACAGGTGACACTTTAATAACTTTCAAATATAATATCACATTTATAGAATTATAAATAACCTAATGTATAAATGTTATGAAACGTTTATTGCTTTTTGAATGTAAATTATATTAAACACAATAACATTATCTATCAATTATTATTGTTATACGTATTTGCCATTCATCAGCCTCACATTTTAAAAATGAAGACTGAAGACTGGTCATTTGTTGGTTGTTATATCATTTATGAGGCTCATAATTATTTTAATATAGTTTTCCCCCCTTATTTGCAAAACGATTTTTTTTGTTAATGTTTGTTAATGGTTTTTAAAAGACACTTTTGCCTTTTCGTTTGGTGCTGGTGTGTACAGGTTCTGCTTATTGATTTTTGTAGTTTTGACTGTAATCAGTTTTTTGTTGTTGTTGTTGTTGTTTGCCTTTGGTTGTTGTGGAGAGATGTTTAAGAGTGGTGTTGAATTAAAAAGATTAAACCGACATTGAAGTGCTCCGTCAATTTAAAAAGTCCTACAGGGAACATTATTAGCTTATCTGTACTTCAATTAAAAGTTGTATATTATGGTATTACAGAACAAATTAATTAGCACAAGATTTGTTTTAATTGACGGACTGGGTAAGTCAAGCTTGTGTTTTCGTTCCTACAATGGAAAACATCTATTTGAGTTGCACGGTTTTGTCTGTACAGTATAGGCCAATAGGCTATAGCAACATTTGAGAGTACATTAATGAACACAACACACTTTCTATAGGTAATTTATTTCATATGAAAAACTAAAGTATAATTTTATATAAACAACTGCTGTTTTATTAGCTCATGACTTTTAGGCATTGTTAACAAATGGCAGTCGATCGATCAAGTTTGCATGGTTTTCTGCTCAAAGGCAGTCTGATGAAGTGAATGAACAGCTAGGCACTCCGCGTGTGCGTGTGCGTGTGTGTTTGTCTTACCCTCTGCTTTTTGTGATTGGTCGAAAAAAACTTGCCTGTTCCCCTCCATGCCCACATGAATAAAAGAAGACTGCAAGAGCCTATCGGCGCGCGCAACACCCCTCCTACACCGCGCGCTAAAGTTATCCACTTCAACTACTCCCAAGCCCTAAGCAGACTTTGTCATCCAAAACTATCAGACCTTTTAAGAAAACACTGCAAAGAATGAAGTAACCTTTGTTCACTCGAGAGCGTTTGGAGTACCTCCTCCCTGGCGCGCGCTTCATCTTGTTCTTGCGGTAGTTATTTTGCTCATGACCCCCTCCGCACAAAACAACAGTGTTTATCTTTGTTTGATTTTTCGGAGGTTTCACATCCCCGCGATAGTGTGGCTGGATAACAATTTTTTATTTTCCCCTTTTTTGAAAAGAGGACTTAAGTGAATTTTAGCCATTAAGGAAACATTCATCAACAAGTCTGGACTTGCTTTCGCAGTTTAAACATCAGCCTTATTGTGCCTCGTCATTTATTAAAAGTAGAATGTCATCTTTACCGGGAACAGTACCGCGAATGATGCGACCGGCTCCGGGACAGAACTATCCCCGCACTGGATTCCCCTTGGAAGGTTGGTTGGACAGATGTTAGGGTACTTTGTTTTGCTGTAAATAATTGTTGTAAATAATACCAGGCCTACAGATTTCCTATAGCCAAAAAGGTTTTTAAAGAGTTTGAAGTGTATATTACACTTGTGAGTACACCAAGTTCTCGACTGAATATGCTGTAGCCTACGCAAATGTCCGATTGGCTTTTTCGCTTAAAGTTTAATATAGGCTATATATATATATATATATATATATATATTAGAGATGGTTATTGGCTTTGCCGCATTTTGAGGAGCAGAACGCATGTGCAAATTAAATGCACCAGAATAAAAAATAAAAAAACTTTTCCAGGGCCATTTTGTTGCTGGCAATGTTCTTATTAGTGGTTCAAATAAAACTTCTAATTACAAAGCCTGTCCATCATTGTAAGATTTGTTGAAGTGATCTAGTGTCGCACGTTAATCCAAAATGCACTAAAGACAAACATTTGAACAACACCGAGTGCAAAAAATAATGAAGCATACCGCATCCAGGCCGAGAGGACCACTCAAGAGCAATCTGTTAAATTCTCTGCTAAATTTTCTTTCATTAATTGACAGGAAACACAATTCTTAACACATCTCAATTTGTCAGATTCAAGTTCAAATTTAAATTTAGAACAATAAAGACAATTATTTATCACTGTATTTTTGTAACAGATAGACTGGTTAAACTAAAACGTGTAGCTCTATATTTCAAAGTGCTTCTGGTGTTTTTTGGTATTCGTATAGCCTATCAAAGATAAAATTATTATCGTTATTGTTTTTAATCCTACTTTTGAGGGAAAAAAATACGTAGGCTAGGCTATTTAAGAGGGTAAACTGGAAGTCTGAATTTTGAGTGACAGCTAGCCAAAGTTAGATTTAATTTCCATTTCTTTACTGCAGTTTCAACTCCTCTGGGTCAAGGTCGAGTCAATCAGCTTGGCGGAGTTTTCATCAATGGCAGGCCTTTGCCAAATCATATCCGCCACAAAATAGTTGAAATGGCTCACCACGGCATCCGTCCCTGCGTGATCTCCCGACAACTTCGTGTTTCCCACGGTTGTGTGTCCAAAATCCTCTGCCGGTATCAAGAAACTGGCTCGATCCGTCCTGGAGCAATAGGAGGAAGCAAACCCAGAGTAAGTAGGCCTATAGCCTATTATTATTATTTTTATTTCTGTTATTATCATTATGCATGATGGGTTTTTGTAGCTATTATTTTTATTTGCAAAGCTAATGAAATATTTCATTTTAAATCGTTTATGAAAAGTTGGTACGTATTAAAAGGATATGTACAATTATGTACTAAAATTTGTTCTCCTGTCTTTTTTTATTTTCACCCATACTTTCTACTTTTTTCTTTCTCTTCGTATTTTCGCATTTTCTCGCCTCTTCAATCAAACACAAAAGCAGGGGGCAACACCTGACGTGGAAAAACGAATCGAAGAATACAAGCGCGATAATCCCGGCATGTTCAGTTGGGAGATTCGGGATAAACTGCTGAAGGACGGTGTGTGTGACAGAAGTACAGTTCCCTCAGGTGAGGCCTCATCTGGTAAGCAGCCCCCTTTTTTTTATCATGTCCACATCACCTATCTCATAATTAATAAGAGTAATTTTTATCACAATCATTTTGTATATATTATTGAACAAACTGAATTGAAAATAAAAGTATTGATTAGTTTATTATTACTATTGTTATTTTATAATAACTAACCTATATATTAATTATAAATTACGGATATAATTTATTTAGCTTACTTTATTATTATTAGCCTATTGGCCTATAATAATAATAATAATAATTATTATTATTATTATTATTATTACTCAAATATATTTATTTTGTTCACTGTGTCCTTTTATTTATTTATTTATTTTTAATGATCCCATCAGTAAGTTCTATCAGTCGGGTTCTTCGTGCGCGATTTGGCAAAAAAGACGACGAGGACGACTGTGACAAAAAGGATGACAGTGGGGAGAAAAAAACTAAGCACAGTATTGACGGCATACTGGGAGACAAAGGTAAATCATTTGAATTTTCTTTTAATCTTATGCAGAAAAACACCCGACTTCTTGTCAAAATAAACTTTGCCCTTGAGTTTATTGGGGGTCTTCTCTGCACATTAAATCGGTGTATGCTTTTTGTGTCGGTGCTCGGCGTCCTTGCGATTTCTCTGCTTGTTGAACTGTCATTTAGTCATTTGATTTAGTGTATTTATACTGGCTCTGACGGATGGTATTTAGGCCTTGATCTATTTGTACAACAGACTCATTTGACGCTGAGTAAACGGTCCCTTGAAAACGGTAACTGACAGATGACCGATGTGGCAATCAATATCAATTACAGCCCATAAGTTCAACATTGCCCGCTGGTTCTCGCGATAATTCGGCACGCTTATTCGCACTTTAACAGACCTTTCTGGCAACCGGTAACAAGTAACAACGCTGTAATAATATAAATTATTTTAGGTTCTTTAATTTTTTTACATTCATTTTTATACGCTATTATGAAATAATGCAATCGTCTATTTTAGCCAAATTTAATAAGTCGTGCCCAGAATATGTTAATATTTCGGGAGAAAAATTACTTCAACTAAGCAAATAATACGATTGTCTTTTTGAAGTAACACAAAACATTGTCGGTTTTGTGACAGTCTTTTTTTTTTTTTTTTACACTTGAAGATGAACTTCAGTCCAAAGATCTCTGCTTCACTGAAGCTCTTTTGGAGCGAGGAATCTATGCTACAAAGCAAAGCCTAAAAGCAAGGCTTCGAAAGAAGGAATGAACCCTTCCTTTCACATTCAAAAATCCGTAAAGGGGGGAAAACTTTTAACAAAAGGCCAAGAGGGGAACTATAGAGAGATGAATTATTCAATACACCCTGCTGGTAGATAGTTTTGTAATATTATGGAATCGTCTGTTGGAATAGAATGAGATTTGGAGGGTGCAAAATGTTTTATTCTTGTTTGGAAATGCCCACTGCTCTTTTTGGAATCACTATTGTGTTTCTTATAGCTGACGTTTAGAGAGGTGGTTTAGATGGAGGAGGTGCCCTGTTCGTCTTTTACACGTATGTTATTTCAACATTGGTTATTTGTAAGAAATTCGTCGGCTTTTATTTTTTTTATTAGCTATGTAATAATAAGTGGAACAGCACATAGCCTACATTTTGTTCAGTTTTGAAATATTGCAAAGGGCTTTTCTTTGTTCATGAAAAGGATGCGGATTATGCGTACTTTTCTGCATTATTTAAAGCGGCTTTTGCACGATTGATCTAAAAGTTGTGTTGTTTTAGAACACATGTTTGTGTGTGCTTGGGCGCGAAACTCAAAACCCTCATACAACCTCCGTGGACTGATTCACAGGCCAGCATGAGCCACTGCTATTGGATTACGGATATACAAATTGGCAATCCGTGATTAGAAATTCCTGCCATTGCCCTAAACGCTGTGCATTAAGAGTATGAATATTTCCATCTGATAAATGCATGCATATCTGCTAGGATTCATGAATAATTTGTGTAAATATCAGTAATGTTTATTTACATCTCCAAATTCACTCCACATTTGTCTTACATTTTGTGAAATGTCTTTTCACATTTGAGCTATACGGTGTCATGCAAACGAGATGGGGCTAAAATGCAATCTTTTTCCAGACTTAAAAAGATTTTTCCCGGGGCTTGTTTCACTTGATCATCCAACTGGCATTTAATAATGTTAAGACTTATTAGAGTTCGTAATGAAAACGTGTCTTTTGAACAAGCGGCTGTGTTGGAGATGGGTGTAATAGCTCACAGGCATAAGAAACTTATTTATCCCCAATCAGCTCTCACTCGCTGAGTTCCAAGCACAACGTTATTTTGAAAGGTTTTAAAGCAGATTAAATTGAGCCTTTTCTTTCTCTTCGCTTTCATCTTTAAACGGCCCTCACTGGCTAGCCTTCGGCACAACTTCATGAGATTTGACATTTTTTCTCACACTTGTTCGTATATTTATTTGATAATATTGTTTTATCGTATTTTGGTCTATTGTAGTTGATTTGACGCACAAACACATTGCAAAAGAATGAGACCCCAAGCACGCCATTTGTGGACAAATTGAGCAGTTTTGTATTATTATGGGTGTGAAATTGTTGAACAAAGAAAAATGACTCCTGGCTTTATAACCAAAAACTACTGTTTGTGCATAATCATGCAGGTTTAGAACAAAGTGTGGTTATTTAGTGACTTCTGAAATAAGCTATCCCTAAAGGATACCTGTCATTTTGTATTTATCGAATTTTGCCCCTTTTGTTGTGTTCCTATTTTAACGTGTCCTGACGTTCATTGCCCTCTTTAAGGCACAGAGCATGAAAGGCGCGTGCACATGGACTTTACTCGACCAATAAAATGTCATTTGACCCAGAGAAAAATTTGTCAGCCAATTAATGGGGATCGACAGATTCCCCATTTAGGTTCAGTTGATTAAACCAACTGGCTTTCAGAGACTTATCCCACAGGACAACGCAAAAGATAGTTTAAACAAATCAGTGGATTACCTGCATTTCTTACCTGATCTCGGTTAATTAGGCTACTAAAAAGATGACTCTTTCAACACGACCTTGGGGTGGCACTACGCATATTCAGTTAACTCGTTCAGTGACCACGCTGAAAATGAATTGTTTGGCTGGAGAAATCGAACACATTTAAACAATAGCTATAATAATTACAGAAGAAACTCAGAAATCGAATGAAGTGAAATATAATTTTCCTATATGTGCATTTGGCGGAGCATTCATTTTAAGAATGCGGCAAAAGGCCAATTACATCGAGAGAATGAAAAGTGCACACGGGTATAGTTCCCAGATATTTGTAGAGAAACGAACGTTATACTGTACATTTGAGACTTCGAAATAAGCCTCGTTTGAAGAAAAGAGACCATAGGATGAGTCGGGAGACCACTTCAAACAAATCCATCTGGAATGGAGAGAGAGAGCGAATGAAAGAGAGAGAGATTTAGTGAAAGTATGGGGAAGTTATTTAGCTATTAATATTTTTCCTCAGGCATCGAGAGTCACTCCATCTGCACTTTCTCGCAGCTATTTGGCTGGGCTGAAACTGAGGGAGACCCAAATGTTGGGAAGAGATAACACAATCATCACAGCCGCGGTCCTGCGCTCTGCATCAATGTATTAAACTCGGATTAACCTCCCCTTTCCCTATACGCTGCTACCCAACACATTTTATTGGAATTTTGGGAGAGGGAGCATTTTTGTAAAATTGTATTATTATTATTATTATCACTTAAGGTCAAATTTGACATTATTTAGCTAACTATTCACATAATTAGCCTACTCATTCATACAAAGTAACTGTAGTTAATGTGCAAGTATATTATGGATCTTAATTATTCATTGTTCTTTTCACTGTAGGCTATTAATAAAAATATGCTGTAACGTGGGCACTGCTCTGTGTAAAGTTCCTTGCTTTTATTAGTCGTAGTGCTGGCTGTAAATAGAATGCGCATACTATGATAAAACTATTGTTGGGCAGTAATGATGGACAGTGACAATGGTGCAAATTAATAGAACAAGTCTGGCGTTTGTATAACCAATCTCTTTGCTAGATCATCGTCTAATGATTAGACTATGCTGTGAAATATGCTAATCCAGAGATCATGAGACCAGAGCACCTGTTTAGTGTCAACGGCGTTGCTTTGTAAAACATTTGCAGTGTAACTGAATTACAGGCTGGTTAACTTCAGTCCTGCACTTTGCTGAGGAAATTATTTTCCAAACGTTCACCCAGGATGAAGTTCATACAAAAACTAGGCCTGCGCCAAATCCAGGGTCCTAATTCGTGGAACGAATCGAATGTCGGAAAACGTCAAATTCAGTAGTGCCCTTCTGTTTTTCCTTACATCTTTTGACAGCTTTTCTTTTCTAAATTCTTACACTGCTCTCTTTGAATTCGTTTTGGGGTAGTTTTGACAGAATATTTGTATGTATCGTTGTATGTGGATTGTTAATATATATCTAAATAATATTTTATCGGATACAACAAAAATAGCAGTAAATATTCGACTAAATGTGTCTAAATAGCGTGTCATCAGAGTCAGTCTGTACGAATGAAATTTGACGTAAATCATTTTTAAAATGTATAAAGATTACGTAAGCCCCCTTGAACAGAATATTAATATGCAATTATTTTCAACAGCTTTTCTGACCTGTTAACCTGGGGCGGATCCTATAGATCAGGGGTGCCCAACCCTGCTCCTGGCGATCGACTGTCCTGCAAAGTTCAGCTCCAACCCTAATCAAACACACCTGAAGCAACTAATTAGGGTCTTCAGGATCACTTCAAAATTAAATGCAGGTGTCTTTGATTAGAGTTGGAGCTAAACTTTCCAGGACAGTCGATCGCCAGGAGCAGGGTTGGGCACCCCTG